ATGTGTTATGTAGTATTGTGTATGAGACTTTGCTGTTTTTTTAACATTTGTTTATCTAGCTTATCTATAATGGTGATGAATGAAACATTAGAAGTCACACTACTTGATTAGTCTGATAAAAGAATAACATCAAATTCATATGGGTTGATATTTTCATATTTTATCTTCGTAGTGATTTTATCGAGCATTCCCTTTATTAGTGATTTTATCGAGTATTACTGTTATTAGAGCTTTCATGTAAAAAAATAATTTAATGGAGATAAGACAAAAAAATACATGTGTTTATTAGTGTAATTTTCTTTACGAAGTTATGATGTATATATATATATATATATATTTTTTTTTAATTGTGATGTATATGAGATTTATGGCCGATTCGAATGGTTCGGGGTAAATATTTATCATTGAAAAATATGTTTTTGTTTTATTTGATGATTAGAATTGAATTGAAATGATATTGGAGATTATAACATGATAATCTTTCTTATAAAAGTATTTAAGATGGTCTCATAAAGTTTCAAATCTTTAAGTCATTTTGTAGCCCAACAACCAGCATAGAAAATCATTATGAATTTCCCTGAGCTTTTAGGTATCCTGGAAATCCCAAATTAAAAAAAAAAAAAGAAAATTACATACAAACACTGCGTTTCGAACCCGCGCACTCGCGGTAACAACTTCTCGTCATCAACTTACACCACTGGGCCATTTCATCATTCATCGATAACATTCAATCTTACAAAATGTTACTCCCTCTGTTCCTAAAAGATCCATATTCTAGTTTTTGCACACTTTTTAATAACACACAATAAATTTGCATAGTTTTTTGTATTTATCTTCTTTCTATAATTTTAAACCAATCAAAAATCAATTAGTGCAATTAAGTTTTTTGAAATTTACAATTATTTAATAAAACATACATTGAAAATGTAAAAAAATGGATCTTTTAGAAACAATTTTTTTTTCTAGAATATGTATCTTTAAAGAACGGAGGGAGTATATGTTTTTGTTTTCCCTAATAACACGCGCGGAGCCCGCAAACTTGTTGACGTGGACACACTGAGGAATTTCAAAAGCGTACTATTATTATATAGATTTGTGCACATCTATTCTATTAAAATAGAGTCACTCTTTTTATCTACTGATACAAGTTGTCATTTAAATTTAGACCATTTCTAGAGTGTTACAAATAATACAAGTTATATAGTTGATTGAACCGCATTACTTAAATTAAACCGACGGTTATTTATGGAATAGAGTTTTAGGCTTACTTTTGTTTTTATGACATTTAATTGTTTGGTTTTGGGGCTTAATATTAAAGAAAAACTCCAAAAACATTAAAAATAAACTTTGCACTTTAATGGATCAAAAATCAATTACTATTTTCAGGTCAAAAAATATTTAATATTTTCAACAAAACAAAATTATCTATTATTAATCATTTATTTAAATCATGTACTTTAAAACATGTTAATATCTTTTAACCCAAAAATATTTAATATTTTCAACAAAACAAAATTATCTATTATTAATCACTTATTTAAATCATGTACTTTAAAATATGTTAATACTTTTTATTTTAAATAACAATCACCTTATCTTGATAAATTTTAATAGTAACTTTTAAATAATTTATTGTTTTTATTTTCTTAAATAATTTACAGATTTAAAAAAAAATGTAAAGCAAAACCAAAAACGAAATCTAAAAACTAAAATTCAAAACCAAAAGCTGAAAACGCAGGTTATATTTTTTGCTTTTTTTATTTATAAAATAAACTATTTCAAAAATTTTAGAAAATTATTTTGCCACCTTTTCAGTTTTAAATTACATGTTCGATTAATTGAGATTTGTTTGTTGGTAATATTAGTTCAAACTAACTCAGCGGGTCTAAGAATTAAAAAAACCAAACCAAAAGCTGAAAATCAAAAATAGAAACTTAAAAACTAAAAACCAAAAACTAAAATTTAAAACAAAATCTAAAACTGAAACTAAAAACTAAGGAAAAACCAACTATCACTACAAATTTTGGTAAACTAATTTTATACCAGAACATTCTTTAAATTAAGACAAAACCCAATTATATAAATTTTTAATCATAAAAAATTTCCGCGCGGGTCAAAATCTAGTCTATTCTATTAAAATAGAGTCATTCTTTTTATCTACTGATACAAGTTGTCATTTAAATTTGGACCCTTTCTAGAATGTTACAAATAATATAAGTCATATAATTATTGAACCGTATTACTTAAATTAAACCAACACAATTAATGTAAAGAGACGACCTTAATATAAAAAAACGGCAGGTATCTATGTGTATACCAAAAACACAGATTTTCTCCTACAAATATGGAATGTTCTAAAAGAATATATATCATCAAAATATGGAATATGAAAATTTACTAATTATACTTAAATTAAACCAGTGGTTATTTATGGAATATAGTTTTGGGCTTACTTTTATTTTTTGAACAAATTATATAGTTTGGTTTTTTGGCTTAGTATTAGAAAAAACTCCAAAAACATTGAATAAACTTTTCACCTTAAAAGATCAAAAAATCAATTATTATTTTCAGACCCAAAAGGTATTTAATATTTTTAACAAAACAAAATTATCTATTATTAATAAATTATTTAAATCATGTACTTTAAAACATGTTAATATATTTTTTATTTTAAATAACAATCACTTTGTTTTGATAAATTTCAATGGTAACTTTAAAATAATTTATTGTTTTATTTTTCTTAAATAATTTACTGATTAAAAAATGTAAAGCAAAACCAAAAACCAAATCTAAAAACTAAAATCCAAAACCAAAAACCAAATCTAAAAACTAAAATCCAAAACCAAAAGCTGAAAACACATGTTATATTTTTTTTGCTTTGTTTATTTACAAAATAAAGTATTTCAATTTTTTTTTTTAAAAATGTTATCATCTTTTCAGTTTTAAATTAGATGTTCGATTATTTGAGATTTGTTTGTTGGTAATATTAGTTTAAACTAACTCTGCGGGTTTAAAAATTAAAAACCCAAAAAAAAACTGAAAATGAAAAGTAGAAACTTAAAAACTAAAAACCAAAAACCAAAAACCAAAATCTAAAAATAAAAACTGAAACTAAAAACTAATGAAAAACAATCATCACCACAAATTTTGGTGAACTGATATTATATCAAAATATTCTTTAAATTAAGACAAAACCCAATTATATAAATTTTAATCATAAAATTTTTCCGCGCTTTCAAGCGCGGATCAAAATCTAGTAACAATCTTTAACCTAGAGTATCCAATGTAGTTTGTATAATATTACACTGACTACCCTTATTCAATGATAACCTTTCGATCATATATACATTTTTCCTCTCTTATTTTTTCTTTTTCCCTCCAAATTTCATTTGATATATATCTTTTATATCATATATAATTCAATCAAATAATTTTGTTGAACAAAACATACAGATTTTTCTACACATGTTATAACTTGAAATTTTTTAAAACAGATTTTCTAAAACATGTCGGATGAAAACTTGTACTGTACTATATCTGAAACATAATAAAAATAGAATAATATATCTAATTTAATGAGATATAAGCTTTAATTTGGGCAATGGAAAGTATGAGGAACTTACATCAATATAATGTCACGTTTGCAATAGATTGTTCTCAATTGGTGAAGATAGTTTCGGAACCAGAAGAATGGTCAGCTTTTGCAGCGTATATGGAGGATATTATGAAGCTTGAAGAGAGCTTCCACAGCTCAGAAATCATCTATGTACCAAGACGACATAATACAAAGGCGGATAGTCTAGCACGGAGTGCCAGGAAACAGCTGTCTTTTGTTGTTCACATGGATGCAGTCCCACCAGTTTGGATCGCAGAGTCAATATGAGTCTGTTACTTGATGACAAAAAAAAAAAATCTAATTTAATGTATATTCAAAACAAAATTTTAATAATACTTATAATATACTATTATATTTATCGTAATAGTTTAACTCATCTTCTTTCTCATTTTTCTCATATCTCTCTCCCTCTCATCTTTCCTCCCTCCATTATATATCTTCCTTTCTATTGTTATCTATACTAAATTGATATAAGAAAATGAACAAAATATTAGTATAATCTCTTCTTTTTTCTCTCTCTCACTTGCTCTCTGTCTTTCTATGAGGATAATAAATTAAAGATTGTGTTTAAATTGTCCCATCCAATAGTCGATGTTCATACAGCAAATTGACTCTTTATTATTTTTTAAAATTAGTAATATATAATGACTAAAACTATTTGATTAAGTTTTACTCTTTAACTAGATTTTGACCCGCGCAATCGCGCGGGTGTTTATTTCGTTTATAAATAGTTATATAAATATTTTGTTTTCACTTGTAAATTGATATATATATATTTTAGTAATCATATATTTATGATATGTATAGTAAATGTTTTTCCAAACATAATAATATTATATAATCTGTGTTTTAATCAAATAGATTGTTTCCAATTTTCTATATTATACATGTTTTTCAAACATGTGTTTGTTTCTTCTTGTGTATTTTATTGTTTGTTAGATTAATATTTCATTTTTAGATAAAAGTAATATAAATAGAACTTGATTAAATATTAGTATACTTTAATTTGCAAAGATAATATAAGCTTCGAAGAAATTTTTGCTAAAACTAAACTTATAGCTTCATAAATTAATATTATATAGAATTTTATTATAATTTTTTTTTAAACAATTTCTTTTTTAAAACAATATAATTTTAAAATTTTACATCAAAATAAATTTATCTATTATATATAGCGTGTAAATTTTGTTAGGGTATATAAATATTTCATATTATGAATCTATGATTTTTGTTAATATATTGTGGATGAATTTAAATATTATTGACATATTTCCTTATAAATAATAGAAGATTCCTAAACTTATACCTATTGACATATTTTGCGT